CAAGTAAGGAAAATCCTAATCCTTGTTCTGGTTCATCGTGATAAGCATCTTCTGTGTCGAATTGAGGTTTATCGAAAAACGAGCTATAGTCATCAAAAGCTGGAGGATCAACAACATCAGGACCGTGATTGTGTATATCTGATTCTTTAACAGTGCTCTGGAATCGGTTTTCCTCCATGATGATCGGTGAAACGATATGTTCCAAGGTGGTGACATCATTGTCATCAGAAAAATTGCTCGAGTGTGAATTCTGGCTTGACTGTTTCTTGAGTATAACATCTTCTGAACAGCTAAGGTTTATACCATCCATACTAGGCTGCTTCTTCTCTCTACCTATTTTAGCAACGGAATCGTCCGGCCTCATCTCCAATGAGCTATCCCGAGAATGACCTCTCCTCCATGAAGCATATTCTAATAGGTCATCAGCGGTGTTTTTAGAAGACTCTGCCCTCTTAGTAGATTCGTCTTCTTGGCTATTACTGCTTCTTAACATTTCATCTTTAGCAAAACTTCCGCTTTGTTTATTTGAGCTCCTACTATGTCTATGCGAGGGCTCGTTTCTTGAAGTATCATAAGAGGATGAGTTCCGTGACTCTGTTGAATTCTGCATCATCGTATTCCTTTCTTTACTTGAAAGCTCAGCAGCAGCTCTAGCAGCAAAACTAGCTCTTTCAGCAGATTTAGCAGCTGCACGTGCAGCAGACGTAGCATCAACAAATTCCGTTTCCCATGGAGATGAATCCCCATAACCTGGATTTGGATGTCTGTGTTCTCTTCCATCAGTTCTATCTCCTGTATTAAGAAATACGAATTGTTTTTATCTAACGCTTCAACACAAACAAAGAACAACAGAAAATGTGTGAAAAAACTAACCAGAAGGTCTTGAATCTTGATGATAGTGATCAGCTGTCTTTCCAATGTTGAGGTCAGTAGATGTAGTGTGGCTTGAAGATCTTCCATCATTTTCATACGAATTATGCGACATAGTGACAGTAGCCGGAGCTTGGATATTTGGAGGTTGATTGTTTGGGATTCTTGAAGAATCCGAGTTTATTCCAATTGCTGACTGAGAGGAACTTGCTCCACTCTGCTCAAGCAAAATTCAAAATGCTATTGAGGAAACAGGTACTAGAGAAAGAGACAGGTGAAATTAACTCTGACGAGACGCTAGGCTGGTGATGGAAAATATTAAACTGAAAATGTATTACTGACCAACGATACGGTTTCCTTCGGATCTGATTCAACCAAAGATTCTGGTTTCCAAGTTACATTATGCTCTGCAGCAATCTCCGTCAAAATTTTGCTCTTCATTGGACCATCAGGAGCTTTAACAGACAGTTTATCCACCAACTAGCGTACAGAGAGAAAGAGAATCATAAGCAAGAATAACTCTCGTCTACAAACATCGGAGAAAAAGAAGAGAGCACAAGGAACCAACTTACCAGTCGACTCACACCAGAATCCGGTTGCAAACTAACAGCAGCTGAAACAAAATCCTTTCCATACTTTGCAGTGAAATGCTTAACAATATCAGCGAGCTCTTCGACATCCGATAACCGTTTGGAAGCGTATAAAACACTCGCAACAGCTTCCTTAAGATCATTAGGGCAGGTCCTAAAGTAAAAAGATCACGACAATCATTCAATACTTTTTAAGACAAAGAACACAAGTGTGTACAGCAGCAACCAAGAAAACTTTTCCATTTTTACTTACTTTTGCGATTCAATTACGCCCAAACGAGCAACAAGAAGTTCACAATATATACCAACGAGCTCATAAGCAGCCACTGTCTTCTCTTCTCTCACTACATGCTCCACCTGAGAAAGAAGCAAATCATAAGCATTCTACTTCTACAATCACAGATCAGATTCCTTGCAGAGAAAATGAAAATCCTTACTCGAATTTTAGCTGTCTGGGTT